AAGCCTTCTTATTTTATTTTACTTTTTTTTAAAGATGACCGGTAAGGGGATCTTAACCCTTGACTTGGTGTTGTCAGCACCACGCTCAGCCAGTGAGCTAACCGGCCATCCCTATATGGGATCCGAACCCGTGGCCTTGGTGTTATCAGCACCGCACTCTACCGAGTGAGCCACGGGCCAGCCCTGCCTTCTTAGTTTTGAGAGCGGATGCTCCGCAGGCTGGGAGGAGTGAGAGATAGTGGATTGACATGCGGTGGCGTTGTCCTGCCTGTCTTCGTCTTACCTAATAACCCACTGGACTTCTGTTTTGAGGACCCCTCCGTTCCAGCCTCATAGTTTTCCCAGATTGTTTTTGGAGCTGGAAAGTGCCATTAGGAATTCTCTCTTCTAGCAGAAGATACCAAACAAAGAGCATACGTGGAGGGAAGTGGGTGGGGGGTAGTGTTTAGAGGTGTGTAGAAAAGCACCAGAGTTGAGTAAAGACAGTATTTCCTGTTCTGCTAGACCCTGCCACTAGCAGTCCAGCTGCATGAGGGTCTGGCATGGCAGAGGTGACCTGCTGCCCCTGGAAAGGCCCTTTTCCCTGCCTCCAACCTGAGTTCCTTCTACATTAAGAGCCATTTAAAAAAGACATCAGAAAAGTGAGATTTGGAATGAGCTAGACAGAAGCTTAGGCTAAAGCCCTTCATTTTACACAAGCAGAATTGTGATTTTTCAGTTAGCATTCAGTGAGTGGCAAAATTATGTACCAGGATGGTTAGCTCAAAATAGAGATGCAGGTGGGGAGCAGGTTGGATTTTGGGCCAGTTGAGTTTTAGAGGCTCTGTGTTTCAGGGCGCCATGTCTGATTTATGTCTTTGGGACAAATCTGGGCTGGTGCTATGGATTTGGGGAAATTATGAATTTCTTAAGGTCACAGTTAGTGGTCTCTCTGGGACTAGAGCACAGGTCTCTTGTTTCCTCCCAGCCCAATTCTTTCTGCCACATCCTGCTGCTAAAGCCGTACTTAACCAGTTCTGTCCCACTAGGAAACCTGCTAATGAAGCATTGGTGCCCTGATAATAGGTGTTGCATAGGGCCAGTAGCACTGGATAGTAATAGAGAAAAAATACATTCTGAGAATGGATCGTTAGGGGCAAGAAGGAAGAGTGCCAGAATAGAGATTTTTTAAATTGTATTTGTTGTCTGACAACTGCCAGCAGATCAGCGTCACAAAAAACTTGGGAAGAAAACCGTCCATAGTTTCTCCATCCTAACTAATACACCTGTTTTTGTTTTAGCACATTTCCTGTTTTTATCCAGCAGTTCGTGTACATAACACATATGTATTTTAATGTAGTTGGTATCACAGCTTACTTACTTCTTTATATTCTGTTTACCTAATGTTGTCATAAACATTTCCCTTATTTCTGTCTCATCGTCATAATTACCTTTTATAATGGCCATACTGTTTTCTGGAGTGTTCGTGTGCCAGGTTCTGTGTCCTTGGGCTTGGGAGATAAAGCTGTCTCGTCTCGCCTCCTTCCTTTCTTTTCTCTAGTAGATTGTGCTGTGGAGAACTTGATTGCACATCCAGACTTCTGTTCCTGTTCAGATGTTGTCTTCAGAGGAGCGTTTTCAGGAAGGAAAGAGTCTGAAAGCTGTAATCCAGTGGCGTAGTTTTGATTTTTGTTTTTACTTTCTGTTTCTGCTGTTGCGTATCACACAAATACAGGTGTACAAAGAAAACAGAGGTACAGTGGAATGAATTAGTAGGAGGCAGGTACCCTTGTACCACTGCCCAGGTCAGGAGTTGGTACCCTGCCTGCTGGCCCAGAAGCCCTCCGTGTGCCCTCCCCCAAGAACAACTACCACCCTGACTTTATTGTAATCACTTCCTTACTCTCTTCAAGTTTTGTGCCCTAAGTGCATCCCTAGACATGGCAGTGTAGTTTTGTCTTTAAAAAAAAAAAAATCTTTCAAATCTCTTTTCATCTGTAGGCATCCCCTCCATCTCTTCTCCTGCTTATATTTAGTTTGTTGAAGAAAGAAATTGGATTGTCTTGAGGAGTTTCTAGAACTTCTCACAGGCTGGATCTTGCAGATAGAGAGGTGTGGGGAGCAAGGTTATATCTTAGGTGATGGGGTGTTCTTCATCAGGAGGTACATCATGGCTGGTTGTCTCCTGTTAGGACGTTAGTTGTGATCTTAGTTGTGATGTGATCTTAGTTGTTATGATGCTGAAAGCCTGCCTACCACTTATTAGGGTTTGTAAAACGGTGATATTGCAGTTCTGTTATTTTTTCTTCATGTATTTGTTAGGATACTTCAATAAAGAAAAACCCTGCCCATCTACTGTCTTTGAATAGCTTTGTTGAGATTCGTGTGTCATACAGTTCACCCATCTAAAGTGTACAGTTCAGTGGCTTATTCTATGTTCGTAGAATTGTGCATCTGTCACCACAACCAATTCCAGAACATTTCATTCCCCTGCTCCTCTAAGCTGTCAGCCCCCAAACCCCCAGCCTAAGCAGCCACTAATCGAGTTTCTGTCTCTCTACATTTGCCTGCTCTGGACATTTCTTCTAAATGAGATCACACAGTAGGTGGTGCTTTGTGACTGGCTTCTTTCACTTAGCATAATGTTTCTAGATCCATCCACGTGGTAGCATGTATCAGCGTTTCTTTTTATGGCCAAGTAATATTCTCTTGTGTAGATATACTGCATTTTGTTGATCCATTCATCAGTTGATGGACATTTAGGTTGTTTCTACCTTTTGAATGTTATAAATAATACTGCTGTGAGCATTTGTGTGAACATATGTTTTCATTTCTCTTACCTAGGAGTGGAATTGTTGAGTCATATGATAGCTGTACTTTTAACCTTTTGAGGAACTGTGAGGCTGTTTTCCAAAGCAGCTGCCCAATTTTACATTCCCGGCAGTATATGAAAGCTTCTATTTCTCCAGCATTCACTATTATCTTTTTTTTTTTTT